GTCTGCTTCTCCCTCTGACCCTCCTCCCTCTCATGCTCTCTGTCTTAAAAAAAAAAAAAAAAGATGTGGGGAGGCTGGTGGGAGCTTCCAGAAGTAGATTTATGTGAAAGATCATGGAGGCCTGAAATAGGGTGGAGCTAGTAAGACGGAGGAAAGGAAATGGTTCTTAAACCTTCATGAGATAAACTTTACAGGCCTTAGCTATTGTACAGATGTAGGGCATGAGAATGGGAAGGACGAGGACCAACTCCTAAATGTCTAGCTGAGGTAATAAGGAAGATAGTGGTGCCACCACCTGAGATGAAGGATGACGAGTTGTCTTTCAGAACAATGGGGTCATAGTGCAATCCCTTAGATGGTGATGTCCCAGCAGGGGGAATCTGGAGCTGGAGCAGAAGCCTGGTGTGGAGGTTTGGACTTGGGAATGAATGCCACGTGGGTGGTCAATGAAGCCAGTAGGGTCACTGAGATTGCCTGTTAGTCAGCCAACGAGTATTTAATGAGCACGCACCAAGTGCCAGGTTGTGTGGCAAGTCTTGAAGGAGCTTTCTTTTTAGTGGGGACATGAAAAAAAAGTCTCCAAACAAGAAAAATGATTTCAAATACTGATGATAGGAGCTATGAAGAAGTTAAAATTAGGTCATGGGATAAAAAATAATGCAGTTGGGGAAGGCAGTGGGGGCCAAGAGGGTCCTCTATGAGGACATGATGCTTGAATTGAAAACTGAATAAGGACACTGTCCTGTGAAAATCTGGAATAACACTCTTTGAAGCAAAAGAAATTATATCCTTAGGTCTTGAGATGGAGTGGACTAGGCGTATCTGAAGGCCAGGCGAAAGGTCAAAGTGGCTGGAACGGAGGGAGTGAGGCAGGCTGGAGGGAGATGAGAGATGAGGGAAGGCCAGATAGGAAGGAGATTGGGTTTTATCCTGAGGGAATGTGTAAAGAGAAGAGAAGGCTGAAGAAAGAAGACTCCTGAAAAACACCACCCAGAAGAAGAAAGGGAATGTGGTGCCACAGAGAGTAGACCAGGAGAGGGTAAGTGACAAATTCTCCAGCAGCAATGAACATATTACTTTTGTGTAATTACACAGAATGGCTATTCTGCGATGGATAAAATGAAAGGATCAGGGGTACCTGGGTGGCTCGGTCAGTTAAGCATCTGCCTTCAGCTCAGGTCATGATCCCAGGGTCCTGGGATTAAGCCCTACATTGGGCTCCCTGCTCCTTGGGGAGTCTGCTTCTCCCTCTGCCTGCTGCTCCCCACTGCTGTGCTCTCTCTCTCTCTCTCTGTCAAATAAATAAACAAAATCTTTAAAAACAAAAAAACATGAAAGGATCATTCAACTCCACCCACAGCCTGCTTGTGAGCTAAAGGCCCCAGAAGCCCATTAGTCCTGCCACAGTTTCTTTAGTTTCCTCTTCCAATATAATGGTTTTAGTTTACATGGTGATGTATATATCAGCATGGAATCAATGTCCACAGGACTGTTTTAAGATAACTGTAGAAAACATTTCAGCATTATATGCAATCACCGTGCAGATGAGAAAATGGAAGTGCACAGAAGCTAAATGGCTTTTCAAGTCAATGCAGTCCTAAGCTGAAAATAGCATCCCTGTCTACTTATTCCAAGGTTACTTTTCAGTTTGCATTTAGCTTATGCCTCTGCTTGGAAAAAAGCTATCCTTAGAAGTTTTATGGATTGCCAAACCACAGTGATGGACTGGAACCATTAACGGCCTCTCTTGATCCACAGGCACGACACTTCGTTTGGACGTCTGGGATGGATGGAAGGAATTTTTGATGGGTTGTCTTCTGGGACAAAAACTTAAAGTCCAACGCTATTTATCGACTGAAGGACCAGTACTCAAGTACGGAGATAAAGCAAATGCTAAATTAAGTACTTTTTACTAAACTTCTACAGGACGTTGAGTCTGCAATTCACTCTATAGCTGGGTTGCTGACCATGCAAGTGCCACTGAGCATGTCTCAACCAGACATTATTATTGAGATATTTGCTGAGATAAGATGTCAGGATTGTCACCAGGGCCGACAGCCTTTGGTGATGGATTGCAATTCAGGTAGACTTTCCTCAAGAAATGCTATTTAATTGAGTGACTTCAGTTTGGTTTGGAAATCAGACTCTTCACAGCACTTTTAAAGCCTATCAGAATAAGTACCTTGCCACCTTCATATTCAATCATTCTAAAAAGCACTAATTGCTAACTGATTGGCTGAAAATTCTGGCTCCCTCTTCCTAAACTCCCAAGTTTAGCTCTCAAATTGCTTTTAGTACAAGGCTTTTGTACATACTTTTGCCATACATGTGTGGCTGGGGCAGTGGGCAGTAGGCTCAGAGTAGCAGGTGGTCATTTTATTTTATTTTTATTTTATTTTGTTAAAGATTTTATTTATTTATTTGACAGAGAGAGACACAGTGAGAGAGGGAACACAAGCAGAGGGGGGTGAGAGAGGGAGAAGCAGGCCCCCCGCGGAGCAGGGAGCCCGATGCGGGGCTCGATCCCAGGACCCTGGGATCATGACCTGAGCCAAAGGCAGACACTTAATGACTGAGGCACCCAGGCACCCTGCAGGTGGTCATTTTAGCATAACTCTGCAGTCAGCAGGGTCCCAAACGTGTAAGCTGCATTACTCTTAAGGTTTTAATTCAGTGGTATTTTCGGACAGTGCTCCCTTCTGGTGATTTAATTATGCTTTACAGAAGCCCACAGACGCACCAAGAGCTCTAAGGGCTCTAAGAAGTGACAGATTAGAGGGGCACCTGGGTGGCTCAGTGGGTTAAGCAGCTGCCTTTGGCTCAGGTCATGATCTGAGAGTCCTGGGATCAAGCCCCGCATTGGGCTCCCCACTCAGTGGAGAGCCTGCTTCTCCCTCAGCTCCCCCCGGCTTGTGTTCCTCTTGCTGTTTCTTTCTGTCAAATAAATAAATAAATAAAATCTTAAAAAAAAAAATAGGGGTGCCTGGGTGGCTCAGTTGTTGGGCGTCTGCCTTCGGCTCGGGTCGTGATCCCAGGGTCCTGGGATCGAGCCCCACGTCAGGCTCCCTGCCCAGCAGGAGGCCTGTGTCTCCCTCTCCCACTCCCCCTGCTTGTGTTCCCTCTCTCACTGTGTCTCTCTCTGTCAGATAAATAAATAAAATCTTTAAAAAATAAAAATAAAAATAAAAAAAGAAGTGACAGATTAGAAAACCAGCTTTTGCAATTTTACATAATATTCAATATTTTAAAGTAATTTCTATTTGGGGATAGTGATAATTCCCTTTTTTCATGCTCTAAGTCCAAAGAAATTGCCGTGTTGCGTTACTTTTAATAGTGCGTATTTATTGAGTACCTTTTAACATGACACTGTGTTACACGTATTACCTAATCTTATGACAATTTTACAAGGTAGATACTGTTTTATCATGTTTTACAGATGAGGAAACTGACATTAAGAAATCTGACCAATGTCACACAGCTAGCCAGGTCACAACTGGATATGGAATCCCAGCAATTTAACTCTAATGCTCAGATCCTTAACCATTCCACTTGACTTAACCTTTAGATAAAATCTAAGGAGGATGAGCAGCAGGGGTGTGCCCACATGCCTGCTTCAGACCCTGTCCCCAACATGCACACATGCACACAGCCCAGCTGACTCAGCTGGGCCACGTGCTTACTCTGCTCCAGGCCTTATCGGCCCTGGTGATCAGTTCCCAGCCTGAAATCTCCCTGCCCACACTATCTGTATTTCTCATCATGCTTTAAACACACACACACACACACACACACAGAATGGAGAAAGGCACAAAGGGAGGAGAGGGAAAATATGTCTAACAGCTCAGAAAATACACACGAACAAACTAAAAAGCTCCTTTTATTCTGTCACCCAATCAGCAAATACCTATTGAGCATGTACTATGCAAGATCCCAGGAATACAGCAGTAAACAAGATATGGTCCCTGCCTTCAGCAACTTGCAGTCCAGCAGGGGCAACAGAAAACAAGTAACCAATTCCTTCAGAAGCCAAATTGAAAAATGTTTAGGGGCACAAACTCCAGTGCCTTCTGCCTAGCTTCAAAGCCCCATCCCTAAGTGTTTAGTTGTGTAGACTTGGGCAAGTTATATAATCATCCTGTATCTCAGTTTCCTCTTTGCTAAAAAGAGAATAATAATTGCATCTATCTCATAGGACTGTTTTAGAGGTTGCATGACCTAGTAATCATAGGAATTTAGAAGGGGGGCTGGCACATGGTAAGCAGGACATAAATGTTAGGTGTTGTTGCTGTTACCATTCAGTGTGAAAGTGTTAGGACACAGACATAATGCAAGACAATATGGGAATGTATAGTATGGACAACCAACTAGACTTAGGGGTTCAGGTGAAGCATCCTGAAAAAAGGCAATTGATGAGATCTAAAGGGTTGGTACTTAGGTAAACGGTAGGGAGAAAAAAAAAAGATATTTCAAAACAAATGGAACCACGTGTACAGAGCCCCAAGGGGCAAGAGAATAGATTCAAGGAACTGAAACAAGTTCCACATGGTAGATCGTAGAGTGAGAGGTAGTGGCTAGAGGCTAGAAGGGTAAGAAGAGCCCAGCTCTTGCAGGTACCCATAGGAATGTAAAGGAATTTGGACTTTATATTTTCAGTGTTGGGAAGATATTGAAGGTAGAGAAAAGCTAGGATGAGATCTGAGTTTTAGAACATTGGCCCTGGTTGCAGTGTGAGCAATAGAGGCAGGCAGGGGACAGGGTGACAGTGAAGAGGTAACAGCGGCCCAAACTAGGCTTATGACAGCATAAGCCACTGTGACAAGATACATTTAGGAAAGAGAATCAGTTAGTCTCAGTTAACAAGAGTGCCTCTAGCTTCCATAACATCGGTGCTAAGGATGAAAGCAAAGGCCAGTTAGTCCACCCAAAGAGGGGCTCTTCTCCCCAAATCAAGAAAACTGATCACATTCAGAGATGCTGATTTGCATTAATGAATTCTGGAAAAAAACTGATGTGTGAACCAAAATGCCAGTGTATTAATGTAATCACTCTAATTAGTTATAATGTAACCACCACAATTATAATCTAACTGTGGGTCCTGGAGACCCACATGTTCTGGGCAGGTCATCTTCCTTACACAAGAAGCCACGTACACATCACAAGATGGTGTGGTGAGCATGTAATCAGAGAGAGGATAGTCAGTTATATGCAGTGGATTTTGGATGATAGCAGGCAAGCTTGCCTCCATCTCTACGATGGGCTCAGATAGCCGTGCCCAAATATATCCTGCATATATATTACTGTATACCTAGTGGGACCCTGTCTAGGTTTGCCTCCCTAATTCTTAGCCCTCTGAACGGCCTGCACCAGTCATTCAACTTGTGCCTTATGGGGTCTTGTAGGGATAGTAGGAAGGGCAATGTGGCCGTAGTGCAGTGACAGGGAAGGGGGGCCTGTGGGAAGTGGGGCAGGGGCCAGACTGTAAGCCAAAGTGAAGAGTTAGGATTTCAGTTGCAGGGGGAAGTTACTGGAGGGGAGTAAGAGCACCTCCAGTTAGACTATGGTAGTACTGGCGGGGGCGCAACCTACTGGTTTCGAGGAGAATAGCAGTAGAGACTTTGAGAAGCCCAAAATAAGGACTGTTGTTAGAAAAGACAAAACAAACATACAGAACTTTCAAATTTCTAAAACATACCGGATTTCTTCCAAAACTTTCCCAGTTACTATAAAGCTTGAGGGGTGCCTGGGTGGCTCAGTCATTTAAGGGTCCGACTCTCGATTTCGGCTCAGGTGACGATCTCAGGGTTTTGAGATCAAGTCCTTTGTCAGGCTCTGTGCTGGGCTTAAGATTCTCTCTCCCTCCCTTGCTAAAAAAATATAGATAGATAGCTTGATATTTTTCCTGAGCATCTGAGTCTCTTGAGAAAGAAAACCACTCTAAGAAAAGCACTTTGATACATTTACCTGTGCATAGTGGGATAATGTGGATAAGCAGGACCTGTGCAGTTTTTTTTTTTTTTAAACACTTTATTTATTTGAGATAGAGAGAGAACACGAGCAGAGGGGAGGGGCAAAGGCAGAGGGAGAGGGAGAAGCAGACTCCCCGCTGAGCAGGGGGTTCGATCCCAGGACCCTGAGATCATGACCTGAGCTGAAGGCAGACGTTTAACCAACTGAGCCGCCCAGGCGCCCCAGGACCTGTGCAGTTTAACCTATATATTACTATTTGTGTTTTCTGAAAACATTTTATGTAAAAGTTAGGAAGAAATAAACATTTAGCTAGTATGTTTTGTGGGTATTTAGTGTAACTACATTTATCAGTTTGCTGACTCACTAAACACCCACTCCTACTTATTTCAGGTATCAGAAAAAGGTGGCCCTGTACATCGCCGCCTTTTATGGGTACATTGAGCTCACTGAATGGGCCCTGAAGCAGGGTGTGCGGCCCGAAGAGGCTGTTGGTGTTCACCCCTGTCGAGCATGGTGCCATGAAGCCCTTCATGCAGATGTCTCTAAATGCCCCATTCATGCAGCTGCAGAAGCGGGCCAACTGTTGATTCTGAAGGCCTTTGTCAACTGCAGCGTGCTGTGCCTGGAATGTAAAAATGCAGCGGGACAAATTCCCCTGACTGTTGCGTTTAAACACAAGCATAAAGACTGTGTATTATATTTATTGAGTAAAATGTGGTCCACAGTTTCTTTTCCGAAAATTTCAGTCCCCATGAGGATTTATATTAAAATAAAACAGTGGGTCCTCAGAGCTCAGAGTCACAACCTTAATAAAAGCCTGCTTTGTGGAGCAAGGGTCTTTGGGGCAAAAGTTGGAGACACCGTGATGGTGGATGGTTTCACCACACCAAAAATGACCACCAAGAGCTGGAATAAGGCTAGGTACAAGGACTCACAAAGCACTGTGGGCAAGCTACCGCCTCTCAGGGAAGACACTGCAAGCAGGAAACCCGTCAATCCTTTGGCAATTTCACAGCAGGACGCAAGACAACAAACCTTGAAATTGCCTCCACTGGTAGATGCAAATACATTCTCTGAATTACAAAGACATCAACAACAGCATCAGAAAAAAATTACTGCCACAGCTAGGAAAAAAGAAAAGCTCATAAAAAATACATATCTCCCCCAAGTCCCCCTCCCCCCAGTTTCCAGAGTGGACTATTCACACCCATCTTTTTACTATGCAACACCCAGAGCTGACTTTTTACTCAAATCCTCCTTGGCGTGGTTCTCAGAGCACAGTGGTAAGACTCCAAGGGAGAACGCCATCTACTGCTTAGCAGTGGCCAGGTAACGTTTTTCTCTTTAAACATACAAGGGCAAACCTTTCATAGGGCAGGTCTAGGGCAGGGAATGGTCCATGAAGCCCTACCATGCCATATAATGTAACACAGGTTGTTCCAATGCGTCAGTATCCAGCTTCAAGGACCTCATCTTAGCCTTGTGTCTAGGACCAAATGAACCCATTTTACTGGCCAATCCAATCTGTGTAGTACCTGACTCCTCAAGCTTTCAGAAAGAAAAGAGACACAGTGCAAAGAGTTGTATCAAAAAACAAGGTCTCTTGCTTGTTCTTCTTTTTTTTTTTAACTAATAAGAAATTGTTAATTATAATTAAAGGGAGAAGGGGAGGAAACTTGAAATGTGGGAGAGAGGCATCAAAAGCGTCATGGAAGACTGGATGGTGATGAAAGTGGAAGGAGAGAAAAGAACAACCATAAAGACTTCCCTTGACTTACTGAGCAAGATATATTGGTTGGGGAAGATCTATACTGGTCAGTGTGATAGAGTTGATATTAATATTTTAGGTCAGTTTAAAAAGTAATCCATTGTCACATTTAAAGACAAAACAAGCGTATCAGGAGTGGACTTCTCAGGTATATTCATTTCATAAGATAAACTTTTGCATACTGGTCATCAGATTTCACTGAAAACACAACTCTGATCAGATCTCAGGTCCCATCCATTACTTATGAGGTCTTACTGGGTGCTAATATTACAGTAGAAATATAGATTTATGAGCAGCTTTTCCCTCTACTCAATATAATGAAAAGGAAAGAACAAAACAAGGCTACATTGTTTTCGTTGCCTATCTGTATTGGTCTTTAGTTCAGCTCTACTTTATTTCAGTGAAGCTGTTGCCACCTAGTGGTCACAGTAATTTGGGCTCTAAAACTGGTAAAATTCCGGACAGCACAATGAGGTTGACAGAAGATGAAGAAACTGCTTACCAACTTCAGTCTTTGTATTTGTGAGATAGTTCTGACCAGAATGTATAAAAAGAGATATTCTAAAATTCTAGAAAAAGACTAGAAAATGATTGGTTGAAAAAATTATATAGCCATCTTAAAATCAGGCTGTAAACATAGGAAACTGATTAGTTTTATCAACAGATGCACATTAGAAATCAAAGGATGCACTTTTGAAATGTTCTAAAGTGCTTATTATGTCACAGTGAAGTGCTAGGCAGAACGCAAACATGCAAAGGTAAAGCAAGGAGTTAATCCAGAACATTAATGATGAATTGGGCAAACTTGGACAGAGTTCAAATATTTGAAACACTAAGGTACTTTAATGCAAGATTGCTTCTCACAGATTTACTGAAAGCCCTTTAAATTTAAAGGACTTTGTCAGACAAAAGGAGCCAGGAAGAAGTGGCAACATGGTCAAGGGCACTGTTTTGTGAAGGAGTCAGAGAGAAATTTAGTTTTCTATGAAGTAAGTGGATCTGCAAAAGGCATTTTAGGGGACAGGGAGAAACTGGCTGAAGATGAGACTGGCAAGGTAAATTGCACCTACATTGAGAAGCATCTTGTGTGCCCAATGGAGAGTCTGCTTCTTAGGAAGTAGGTAGGAAGATCACAGAAGTTGGTTTTTTGGGTTTTTTTTAAATCAGGCAAGTCACATAATCAGTTTGTGTTTCTTTTTGAAGACAAATCTGGTGGAGATGTGTGGAAGACTTCTTCACTGGGAAGAAGTCTTATTGAAGCTGTGGAGGGCCTACAGTATATTTAGGAGGCTGTAATAAAAGAAGCAAGGAATGATAAAGACCTGGACTAGAGCAGAAGTAGGTAGGGAAGAGGAGAAAAGCCAAATATGACAGATATTTCTGAGCAATGATCTGCAAAACTAGATCACTAATTAGATGTAGAAGCAGAGAGAGAAGGAGGAATTGAGGTTTGTTTCCAGATGGAGAGATGGTGAGGAGATAGCAAAGTGGCTGTGTTAGAGCAGAGATACTGAAAGGGGGCAGGTTTAGGAAGAAGATAAAAGACATGGAAATTGGAAGTGTCGGTCAGGATTTAGGAGTCAAGGATATGCGAGTTGAAGCAATTAGTAAATAAGGCCTCCCAGGATGAGGGTGCAGAGAGAGAGAAAGACAAAGGATAGAATCTCAGAGGACCCCTCTGTAGTAAATCACATTTATACCTTACAAAGTAGGAGTCATCATATTCAAATCTGTAAGTCTTTATTAGCATATAGCCAGAGAATAGCTACCATAAAACATTAAATTTCATTGCATTTTGGTAAAAAGCTATTTAATATTTTATCAATGAACAAAATATGTTTTTGTGGTGGGGGAAAAGGAGGAGAAGGGAGACACGTCAGGGAATATATGATGTATAAGGATGCCTGGGGAAACAGACAGAAAAAGTTTCCATCTAGAGAATTCTATATAACATTGAATGGTTTTCTGTTTCTAGGTGTGGGTGCCAAATTTCTAGTATTGCCCTGGTAAAATATCATTTCCACTACTTCACAAGGAACTAGTTTGAGAAAGATTCCTCTTTTCTATTTTTACAACCTATCTTGTGTGACAAGATAAGCTAGCGGCAGCTACAAAATCAACCTAGAGATTTCTATCATTTCAGCAATAAATAGGGACAAGATTGGACTTCCTTACAAATTATTTGTCTTGTTTTCTTGCAGTGCCTTTAAAGAGAAACGATGGCTTCAGCAGTTAGGAATAGCAAGAGTTCTAGCCAAAAAGAGCATTTCTAACCTGACTATACAAGGAAGCCTAACAGCATGTGAAAATCCTCCAGAAATTGTGCCTTGAAAAGTCATGACAACCCCAGTTTGGACAAAGACCTGGTCAAACAGAACCTTCAGTTCTAATGTTAATATTTCAAGTAACTAATGCTATAATTTCTAATAACTGTTCTAATGCTACACAACTGTCAACAGGATATTTAATGTTTAACATCATGTTTTCTCGACTCCCATCACTGTAAGTGAACATTTCAGGCATGTGTTTTTACATAGTTTATTGAAGAATTCTTAAAAAACTGAGAGGAGTAGTTGCCTACAGGGTAGGAAAACTAGAAGGATGGGGGGGTGAGAATTTTTACTGTTTCTTTCTCTGTTTTTGTTTTCCTGGGTTTATTTTTAATGCTTTTTGTTTTTTAAACCATATGAATGTTAGTACAGAGTAAAAATAAATAAATTTTAAAACTCTCTATAGAGAAAGTCCCTAGGAGAGTTACAAATACCATTTAGGTCAAGTACTGGTCTTGGACATCTTTTGAACTTCTGCTAAAATATCATTTTTTATTAATTTTTAAAAATTGATGCATATAGGAAATAGAGCTACCCTATGACCCAGCAATTGCACTACTGGGTATTTACCCCAAAGATACAAATGTAGTGATCCAAAGGGGTACATGCACCCCAAAGTTTATAGCAGCAATGTCCACAATAGCCAAACTATGGAAAGAGCCCAGATGTCCATCAACAGATGAATGGATCAAGAAGATGTGGTATACATATATACAATGGAATATTATGCAGCCATCAAAAAAAATGAAATCTTGCCATTTGCAACAACGTGGATGGAACTGGAGGGTATTATGCTAAGCAAAATAAGTCAATCAGAGAAATACAAGTATCATATGATCTCACTGATATGAGGAATTCTTAATGTCAGGAAACAAATTGAGGGTTGCTGGAGTGGTGGGGTGTGAGAGGGATGGGGTGGCTGGATGATAGACATTGGGGAGTGTGTGTGCTATGGTGAGCGCTGTGAATTGTGTAAGACTGATGAATCACAGACCTGTACCTCTGAAACAAATAATACATTATAGTTAAAAAAAAAAGAAGTTAATAGGAAGGGAAAAATGTAGGGGGAAAATCGGAGGGGGAGATGAACTATGAGAGACTATGGACTCTGAGAAACAAACTGAGGGTTTTAGAGGGGAGGGGGGATGGGTTAGCCTGGTGATGGGTATTAAGGAGGGCATGTATTGAATGGAGCACTGGGTATTATATGCAACCAATGAATCATGGAACACTACATCAAAAACTAATGATGTAATGTATGGTGACTAACATAATAAAATAAAAATTTTTAAAAAGTCGATAAAAAAAGTTGATACATACAGTGAATTACACAAATCTTAAATGTAAGATTTAATGGCTTTGACAAATATATACATCAGTGTAACCAATACCCCAATCAAGATGTAAATATTTCCATTACCCCAGAAAATCTGTTCAAACTTCTATAACAAAGTCCATCCCAATACCGTAGAGGCATCCACTACTCTGATTTCTGTTTTTTTACAGTAAACTATTACTTTTAATTCTTTCTATTGTATATTTGCTTTCTTATTTGTTAATTTCTTTTTCTTTTCTTTTTTTCTTTTTTTACAGTTTCTACTTCTCTGATTAAATTTTTCACCTGTCATCTAATGTTTTGGACATATTATTCTTAGTTTTTTTGGAGTCCAGATCTAATAACTCCAATATCTGTACTTCCTTCATTCAGATCTTCCGTAGATTTTTTGTATTACCTAGCATATTCCATTGTATGGACATACCATAATTTATCTGTTCAACTGTATATATATTTGGGTTGCCTCCAGTTTGTGTTATTGTGAATAAAACTGCTATGAACATTATTGTAAAAGTCTTTTCCTGGACATATGCTTTCATCTCTCTTAGGCAAATACTTAGGAGTGGAATTGTTGGGTAAGAGGGTAAATGTACATTTAACGTTATAGGAAATTGCATAACAGTTCTCCAAAGTGGTTTTATGATTTTATACTCCCATTAACAAGGTACAGATGTTCTGGTTGCTCCACAAACTCATCAAAATTTGGTGTCATCAGTGTTTTTGATTTTGTTTTTCTGGTGGGTTTGAAATGACATCTCATTGTGTATTAATTTGCATTTCCTTGATGATTAATGATACTGAATCCTTTTTTATGTGCTTATTGGTCATTTGTGTATCTTCTTTTGTGAAGTATCAACTTAAGAGTTTTGCCCATGTAAAATATTGGGTTATTTATCTTTTAATTATTGGTTTATTGGGGATTTTTATATACTCATGATACAAATTCTCTGTCAGATATATGTATTGCAAATATTTTTTTCCAGTCTGTGTCTCACTTTTCCATTTTATTAATGGTGCCTTTTGATGAATGAAAGTTTTTAACTTTGATGAAGTACAATTTATCATTTTTTTTTCTTTTATGGTTCACGTCTTCTGTTTCCTCTTAAAGAACTCTCTGCTTATCCCAAAGTCGTGAAGATATTCTCATATGTTTTCTTCTAGAAGTTCCATGTTTTAGCTTTTTTTTTTTTTAAGATTTTATTCATTTATTTGTCAGAGAGAGAGAGCACAAGCAGGGGGCCAAGGGAGAGGGAGAAACAGGCTCCCTGCTGAGCGGGGAGCTCGATGTGGGACTTGATCCCAGGACCCTGGGATCATGACCTGAGCCGAAGGCACACGCTTAACCGACTGAGCCACCCAGGTGTCCCTCATGTTTTAGCTTTTATGTTAGGTCTGTAATCCATATTGAATTATTTTTGTGTATGTGATATGAGGTGAGGGTCAGGATTCATTTTTTTCCCAAAGGTTTATCAAATTGTTCTAGTACCAGTTGTTGAAAAGACTTTCTTTTCTCTCATTGAATTACATTGGTATCTTTATCAAAAATCAATTTACAATATATGTATGGATCTATTTCCAGACTCTCTTTTTTGTTCCATTGATCTATTTACTTATGATTATACTAATACCACACTGTCTTAATTACTATAGCTTTACAGTTGGTCTTGAAATCAGGTAGTATGTCTACTTTAGCTTTATTCTTCTTTTTCCAAGTGTGTTTAAGTTATTCTCGGTCCTTTGCACTTTCATATAGATTTTTAAATAAACTTGTCATTCTCTATAAAAAAGCACAAATAGGGCGCCTGGGTGGCTCAGATGGTTAAGCGTCTGCCTTCGGCTCAGGTCATGATCCCAGGGTCCTGGGATCGAGTCCCGCATCGGGCTCTCTGCTCCTTGGGAGCCTGCTTCTCCCTCTGCCTCTCTCTCTCTGTCTCTCATGAATAAATAAATAAAATCTTTAAAAAAAAAAAGCACAAATAATATCTTAATAATACCACAACCCATGATATATGTCACCATTTATTTAAATCTTCCTTTATTTCTCTCATCAATAGTTTCAGTTTTTAGGGTAGGGGTCTTACAAATCTTTTGTTAGATTTTTCTTAAATATTTTATATTTTTTGATGGTATTTGCTAGGATTTCTAAGACAGACTTTGTTACAACAATCAAAGGCACCTAAAACCTAAAGTTCATTTTTAAAAATACTTTTAAGTTTCTAGTTAGATCCTATGGGATTGGGGCACATAGAAGGTTAATGTAAAAGTAAATACAAAGATGATGCCAAAGAGATGTTGTAAGCAGCATGTGTATAGGTGTTAGTTCACTGTAGAGACAATAAGAGGGGATAGTAACTGGAAGAGGGCACTGCAGAGGTTCTGGGGTACTGGTAATATTATATTTCTCAATCTGGGTTACTAGGTGTGCTCAATTTGAGGCAATTCAACAAAAAGTATTTTTTATCTTTCCCAGTTTGTTTGAATTTTATAATCCAATTGAAAAAGTGAACTAAAATAATTTTTTAGGGGTGCCTGGGTGACTCAGTCTGTTTAGCGTCTGCCCTAGGCTCAGGTCATGATCTCAGGGTCCTGGGATCCAGCCCTGCGTCCTTCTGTCTGTCCGGCTCCCTGCTCATTGGGGAGCCTGCTTCTCCCTCTGCCCCTACCCCCTGCTCATGCTCACTCGCATGCTCTCTCTCTCTCTCAAATAAATAAATCAAATAAATAAATAAACTAAAATAATTATTTAAAAATCTAAGGAACTAATTCATGCATTTTGTGGCTGCCTCAGATTCATGAGAGGGCAATTTATGTGAGTGATGGGTATCACCATGCTTTTATTCTCTTCACAGTATGCTGAACTGAACTGCAATTCCTTGCAGAGGATGATAATATTTTATGTTAACATTGAAACACAGCTAAGGAAATGCTGGTGCAAAGATTCTGAGGCTGGAATGCCTAAGAAGGGAAAAAGAAGGTGGGGAAATCTAAAGGAAAAGAAAAGTGGATGAGGTGGAGGGAGATAGAAAGATAAGGAGAGAATGTGAGAGGACAACTGATATGAAGCCTTGTTCCCTGCCAGAATCAACAGAAAAAAATACCGAGTATTTATTCTTTCTTCACTTTAGCCCCAGAAGTAAAATAGTGTGAAGTGACTTTACGACCTTATATAATTACAAGGTTATACAATTGTAAAGCATTAGTATTAGCATGCACAGGCATACCCTGGAACACTTATTCTAAACCTGAATCTATTGGAATCATAGTCAATTGCTACTTTCTTTATGGTTCCACATAATTTTGTTCAGCCCTCAAGAATTATCACTCCTCATACTGTATTTACTTCACTTGATTGTCTCCCTCACTTTATTGTCATTTCCTAGAGGAAAGGTCATTGTTCTATTCATCTCCAAATTGCCAAGGCATAGCATATGCTTGAACCTCTGAGTAATTGCTCTCTATATTTGTTGCATTAGATAAATGGATTAGCAAATATTTGTTGCATTAGATGAATGGATTTTAGGATGATTATGCACACGGAATTCTCAATAATTTGGGCACATAAAATCTTCTATAAAATATAAATGCTTCAGTTTAAAAAACTTTCAAGTGTTTAACACTAACTTATTATTTCATTTGATCATTAAAATCAATTTCTTTTTTTAAAATTTTATTTATTTGAGATAGAGTGAAAGAGAGAGAGAGCACAATGG